CTTAGAGTCTTCATTTATCTGTGTTGTAAAAATTGTAGCCATTCAGTAATGCTTAAAAAGTTATCATTTCTAAGTACTAGGAATTTGGATGCTCACATTAATTCACTGTAGAATAAAGAAAACACTGCTTTCAAAGCAGTCTATGGTGTTCTGGAAGTACATCCCCATTTGTCGCAGATTTAGAAAGTTTTTTTTCAGGAGGTTGTAGAAATTACTTATGCTCTTGAAGGACATGCTTTCACTCTGAAAGATATAAATTAATACCTGAAAAACCTAGACATAGACTTTGATAAATTCGGAGTTGAAATAGACTGCTCTTATGCTATTAACAATTCTCTTTCACCCACATTCTCCCCCACTCCACCCCATCCATCCATCCATCCATCCATCATATGAAATCCTCAGTGACAAACCAGAGTTCAAAGAATGTGCAGCCTCTAGCAGAAACAAACAAGACTACAAAAGCTGTCAAGTGCATGGTCTAGCTGGAATGAAAGCTGAATCATCTCTTGGATTGTATAGACATAATCAGACTCTGTATCAAAAGCAGCATGTGCAGACAGTCAAGGGAAGTGATTCTGCCCCTCTCCTCTGCCCTAGTGAGACCCCACCTGGAGCACTGCATCCAGCTCTGGGGTCCCCAGCACAGGAAGGACATTGACCTGTTGGATCGAGTCCAGAGAAGACCCATCAAGTTGATTAGAGGAATGGAGCACCTTTCCTGCAAGGGAAGGCTGAGAGAATTGGGATTGTTCAGCCTGAAAAAGAGGTGGCTTTGGGGTGACCTAATTGCAGCCTTCCAGTACTTGAAGGGAGTCTACAAGAAAGATAGAGAGAGACTATTTACAAGAGCACATAGTGACAGGGCAAGAGGGAATGGCTTCAAATCGAGAGAGAGTAAGTTTAGATTGGATATTAGAAAGAAATTCTTTACTGTGAGGGTGGTGTGGCACTGGAACAGGTTGTCCAGGGAAGTTGTGGATGTCCCATCCCTGGAAGTGTTCAGGGCCAGGCTGAATAGCTCTCTGAGCAAACTGGTCTAGGGAAAGGTGTCTCTGCCCACGGCAGGGGGTTTGGAAGTAGATGATCTTTAAAATCCCTTCCAATCCAGGCCATTCTATGATTCTATGATTTTTAAAAGCAAACCACACATAAAAGTTTATGATGGACTTGCCACACATACTACAGTAATTGTGTGTCTGAATCCTGCAATGAATAAAATTAGCAAGTAGGATGCAACTATCAGCATGTATCATTGAACCATTTGGAACTAAAATTTGCTCCACAAGAACAGAGGTGCTCCCTTCCTGGGTTGATATCTGGCCAATATCCTTGTGATAATGTACCACTGATGAACAGAAAATAAAGTGAATCAGAAAACAATGATCCAAAGTTAATGGCAAGGTGCCATGTAAAGAATACCCTCTAGGACAAAGGACATGCAGAGACATGAAAAATACAAAGCCCAATTATAGCAGTTGTGTGACCAAACCAGAGATGAGTGAGACAGTACTTCAGAGGTTACCAATTGGCACTATCTGCATTTCAGAAAACAAGGTAAAAGGCTCCATAAGACACCTGTATTATTGTGGAAGGACAATCTGCACAATGGGAATGTCCAAAGATAGATAGACAGATATAGAAAATTAATTAGATTTATGATTAACTAACCATTAGTACTTGCGGGCAAGCTTACTCTAAGGACCGAGCATGAGAAAGCATATGAAAGGAGATAACCATTAAGAAATACATATACTACATGGAATGTATATACAGGAGAGCTGGCACTTGTACTCTTTGCATTGCTGCTGCAGCACAGGATCCCACTGAATGCTGCTCAGGTCAGTATATTTACAGATATACAATTAACTGCTTGCTACCTACCATCTGTCTGGAATAAAGAAATCTGAGGAGCAAATCTGGTGTCAATTTGAGCCCCATGGATGGACAAATTCAAGGGATTCTAGTTCTTGGAAGAGGTAGTTAGGAACTCACTTAAGCAACTAGGACAAATAGCTGCCCCCTGAAGTGATCAGAGGGACCTTGGAAGGAACAGCCACCATTTACAGGAAACCTTGATTATCCAGAAGATAAGTGCTCAAGAGTAGAAAGCACATCTGTTTTGAGAGAACAAACTTACTAAAATAAACTGCTTAATTAAAATTCCCTACTTTATAGATAAGTGAGCAGGAGGAGTTTTAAAAATTACGAATCCTATATCTTACTTGTCATTATCCACACAATCAGATAATGTAAATCCTGATTCCACAGAAGCTGCAAGAAATTTTTTACAAAGTGAGACTGTGAACTCCATTAAAGCAAAAAATTCTTCACTATTTGTTTTTCTCACCACACCAGGAGGAAGGAGAGCCCTCTGAACAAACACACTCCTAACAAGAGTCTCACCAGTCTTGATTTCTCTGAAAAAAACCCAAACAAACAAGTTTCAATAGTACATTTCAGTGAGGTGCTTGGTGCTGGCCCTGTGTTCATACATAGGTTCAGAGAACCACGACTTCGCTGCCCTCAGCTGAGCCAAGATTTATTTGTTCTTACATAAACCAACATATTTTTATGAAAATCATTATATTACCTATATTCCTCTGGCCACACGATATTTCCTGCAGGGTTTGCCTAACTTCACCACAATGCAACAGCATCAGCTATGAGAGCATGTCACCAGGGAAAGAAAAAGGCTAATTTGGGGGAAATCTCGCAAGTCTAAAAGCCTTTAAACCAAGCAATCTAAATGTTCACACTCCTTTGTGAAGCACAGTAAATCAGTCTGGCACATAGACTGCGAAATAAAACACCTCTGCATAATCCACAAATACCTGAGGATGAATGAGTCAACAGGGGAGAGCCATCACAACTGGCTAGAAATAGATTCCAGTGTGATTTCAGTAGCAGGGAAGATTTGTTTCCTTATTAGTAAATCAATCTTACAAAAGTGTTATAGTATAAAGTTGAGCGGTCCAAGCATGGGGACACTGAAGGGTTTCCTCTTGGTATGTGTGCTTCCTGTAGCCAGAAAGTGGTAAGTAGAGACACTGACCAGTCAATGAGTTTGTTCTATTGAGCAATGTCTCACTTATGACAGAATCTACCAACCACCCAACATGTTCCTGCTGGATTCTGCACCTCTATGAGGGTCCAAAGTACAACTGCTAAGGTAGTAGATGTCACCAATTCTGGGAACATGGGGCATAAGTACCAACCTGCACTGTTTTTTAGAGATCAAAGGTGCATGCATAAGGACTCAAAACTAATGTTTAACAGAGTTAGGCAAAGTCAAAGCAAAATATGAGATACTACAATCACTAGATTCCTTATGTATCAAGACTATACTCTAAAGATGCTCTAAATTTACAACTTGAAATACTTATTTGCCTGTTTTAACTCCATATGATTATCTGCATTACTGCATGTTGCCCACAATACTCCCAACGTTGATGTGAATTTTAAAAAGTACAAATCAGCCTTAATCAGTGGAAGTTCCTCCACAAGTTCTCTCATAATGGCTTAATTCTCATTTCTCACTTAAAACATAGATCCCAAACAGTATCAACCAAAACAGCCTCGACTGAAAATAATCCAGATAATTTAAATTTACAAGTATTGTGAGAGATAAAAGTCTATCCTGCAACAGAGTAAAATAAGATTTCAGAAAACAGTTACAGTAGCAAGGCAATTCATTAAGGTCCCCAGCTTCATAACGTGATATGAAGTGAGTGCTATGAAGACAGATTACATATGAACCAGTTCTTTAAAAGTTTAAGTGAAGATAATTGGTTTCATTGTCTTAAATACAGACTGATGCTTACTTTACCTCTTACGCAGATTCAGGGCAGCAGATTTTACAACAAACTTTAAATACTACACAACAAACTCTCAAACTATTTTCATCATAGGCATCTCAACAGAAATGCTTTCCATCCAAAAGGGGTGGTAAATTCAACATTAATTACCCCTCCCTGTTCCAAAACAATGCACGCCTAATTTCTATACAATCTGTAGGACTTTTAATTCTACCAACTGAATAGGTCGGATATTAGGAAGAAATTTTTTACAGAGAGAGTAATCAGATAGTGGAATGGGCTGCCCAGGGAGGTGGTGGATTCACCATCCCTGGAGGTTTTTAAGATGAGACTGGATGTAGCACTTAGTGCCATGGTCTGGTAACAACGGCCGTGTTGGGTGAAGGGTTAGACTTGATGATCTCAGAGGTCTTTTCCAACCTGGTTGATTCTATGATTCAAAGAATAGATATTCTCTTGAAAGACAAAAATTATCATATTAAATTAACCCACTGGCCACATAACCTCTTGTCCTAAGGTGTTTAGCTCACATTTTCAGGAAGAGACCCTAAGAAAAGGCCAAACTGATACTGCTGCCAAAGTCCCACAGTGATCTCAGATGTTTACATTGGTTTAAGCAAGAAATCTACGTTTAACATTGATTTAAGAACACAGCTGTCAAGCCTATTAAGTTTCAACTGTGTCAGCATTTTAAGTATTTGAATATTCATAAATCAGGTTTTAGCCTGATGCTCAACTCATTTCACATAGATAAACCACCAAGTTCTACGCTATTTTGTGTTACTGTCATGAGAAATGGAATTAACTGTCAAATGACTGTGTAAACTAACTGTTAGGCTACCATAGTATCTGCTACATACATCTGTAACCAAATGTATACATTAGATGATATAGATGCAGTTGTTTTCATTTCTTCTTTATAATCCCTTTAAAATATTCATGCTGTATTTACCAAAAGTGGACATGCAGCATACTTGAAGTAATATGTACAATATATTACTTAGGTTTAGCTGGAGGAAGTTAATGACAGATTTTAAAGCAAAAATAATGTAATCTGTGAGTAAGCATCATACCGGAAAAACCCACAACCCTCCACCCAGGACAACCAAAAACCCGTCCAGCAAAGGAAGTAATTTTCAGATTATTCTTCCATTAAATTTATAAACTGACTTTGCAACGTAATGAACTAAATACTCGAACTTTAATATTTTGCATTCATACTAAAAACAATTAACAGTTTTTACAAATAGTGTTATTTACTAAAACAATTCTTGTACAACAGTGTAGTATATCTAAATATATACATATGCCAACATCAAAGGGAGCATCAAAACAAACAAAGCCAAACAAAAATGCACTTTGCTACTGTGTACACTTTATTAAAACCAAAGCAGACTGCAGCAGGTTTCTTTTTCATGACAAAGACAAAAATTATTTGGATTCCAGAAGGACATGCAGGATAGAAGAACAAAAGCCCCTACCACCTTTTTGCCAAGGTAGCAGCATAAAAAGGGATCTTCAGATCTGCAATTTTACATAGTAGCAAATGGAATGTTTTTAAACCCAACCATCATAATTCAAGAAACAAGGCTTCAAAAATGTAGATAGTGTTTTTTACATTGAAGGAAAAAGTTCAAATGTCAAGGCCTTCTCCATGTTTTCCTACAGTTTTGGACAGTCTATGTATGAAGGTCACTATTCTTCATTGCAGCCAAAAACGAGAAAGGAGTAGCTGTAGTGTGGAGTCGGTCAGCTTTACTAAGATTGAGTAACAGAGAAAAAAATGATTCTGCCTGCTGTTAGTAATGGTGGTTTCTGTAACTTTTACTCTACCTTTTTCTTTAAAAATATCTCCTCCAAGGTTTTAACTGGAAAAATTATGCTCCCTTGTTCTTCAAAATAGATACATGCATCTTCTCCAAAGGAAGCTGCAGTTGTGTAATTCAAAGTGCCAGTGTAGCTGCTCTAATTAGAGATATCCTTTTTCATTCTGTGAAACCCAGCAGAGAAGGAATAAGGTAAGACCTTTGTATGTAAAGACTGCAGAGATATCATTGAATGTGAGTGAAAAATAAAGTAAGTGATATTAGAGAAAACATGAAAAAAATTGGAGAATGAGGTATTAAGCAGTTCTCCAGTGTAAATCTGATGTTCCTGCCATCTAGATGAAATCAGAGAACTATAATAGCAGCCTAGATTTAATCAGCAAAATATGTACATGGTATTAAGAGCAAATTTATCACCTTCATTATATCTAATCATTTTCAATCTGCCAGAATTTTCTAAAGTTCAAATTCATTTCAGTTCTCCAGACTCAAAGTTCATGAACAGTAACTGTACCATGAGGGTAGCGTGCTGCCCCACACCTGTTGAGAAGCCTGCAGTAATTCTTATATTTTGCTCCTTTTTACTGTTGTTTTACTGCTGTCTATATATGTTTTGGCCAATGACATTAAGTACACATCTACACCAGTACCATTTACTAAACAGAGGTGGACAAATATGTTGTGACTGTTCCTGCAGCTGAGCACTCTGGAACACACTGCCATGACATCAATACAGCAAATTTCAACATGCTGCCTCTGTTTTTTTCTGGGATGTTTTACAGTAAATCTTAACACCTTTGTTATGCTCACATAAATTGAGATGATATACAGGGTAAACAAGTTTTGCTTGTAGAAGTGAAATGCACAGAAGGCACTTTCCAGAATTTGCTCCAGTTCAGGCTAACCAAGTTACTGAAATACCCCTTCTGTAGGTAATTAGCATTTTTGTATTCCTTAATGAAAGGGTTAAGTGACAGAGGGTTATACAAAATATTTTGAAAACATTTCAGCCTTACATCAACAATTTACATGTAAAGAAACAAGGCATTCAAAAATTAGGTCTTCTATTGGAACACGAGTAACATTTCCAAGGATTCTTAACTTTCAAATAGTTTAACTTTCTCACATTTTATTTAATTGCTAAAAAGCTTTTCCACACAGTAGCTGCATGTGTACTTTCCCCCATTCACCCACATTTCCGTGTTCAATACCACAGTAAGGTGGAACATACATGAACTTGGTCAAAACAATATATAAATGAGGAATCTGAGAATCAATCACGGCAGAGAAGGACCAGCAATGGCATCTCCACGTTCATGATACCAAACCCACAGAGAGGAGCTGAACTGACATAAAATTTCTAAGTTATAACAGAGAATACAAGAGGATGACTGAATGAATTCATGCAATGACAGCATCTAGCAAGGTAGGAGAAGGCATCACTTTAGAGTATTGAGTATATAGGACACAACCAAGCAAGAAGATAAAATTAACTTTTCTGATGAGAAAAATCAACATAAAGCAACACAGCTCCAAATTTAATTTAATCAGAAAATTGCATGTGAAATGGAAAACGTAGGTTGCAGCAGAAGCACTAAGACTCTGAACCTAAAAATAGTGACCTACTGCACCAGCTGTAGACAATGAAATCTGAATCAAAATCAACTAAAATTCCCAGTCTGTTACAGGGGATAGCTTAGAGCAGTGACTTTAATAAAGGCGGGAAGGAAAACAGAAAGTGTCCATCTTTTATTCAAAACTTTCATTATATTGAATTTAGAGGGGCATTGAATTTAGCAAGTGGTTTTTTTGGTCATGATGAATATAAATGAAAGGTGATTTTAATTTTCATAAACATGACTGAATGCCCAAAATAAGCAAGTTGGAAAGCAGAAAAACTTAAGATATACCTAAGGTTTCAGCATTCAAATGAGAAACCAGGAACAAGCATTTCTGTATGTCAAGAAAAGACTTCAAAAATTTTAAAAACAAAGACAAATTAGTAAAAAAAAGTATGTTTGCTGGGTCTTTTCTGTACAGAAGTTCCACAGGCTCTTGTTAGTGAACATGTGGCACAACATGTGAAAACCTAAGAATACAACAGTCAATGTCAGCCACACTATCTCGATGCTTCAAGCTTCTCTTTGAATCAGGGACTAAGAACTATAGAATCAAAAGTTATTTTCACTTTTGTGTATAAATTATACATTTCTATACACATTGTATATCTGATTTTGGAATAAGGTACTGAATGCATACAGAGAACACTAAATTATACTATATGTCTTTTCTAAAGAGATCACCTCTTCAATCCTTAAAAAATTATCTATGACACAATATCTTGGATTATTATTTTTTTCCTCAGTATTTCTTCTCAAATTCCACAGGCTTTTGTGATGCTACCAAGTACTGAAGTAATTAATGACAGTTTGCGAGAGCGCATAAGAATTCTAGAGAAAAAAAATGTGAAAATAGTAGTATTAGAACAATCATCTGGCTAGAACATCTCCAACTGGAACAGATCACCTATGGGCATGTTTTGTAACCACCCCCATCAAAAGTTATGCAAAGTAGTCATCTGAAAGCATCTGGCAAAACACCAGTGTCAATTAAAATAGTGAAACAAAGGCATCTTAGGTAGCTGTGAACAGATGCAGGAGTGTATGGGATAACTGAGGTCATTTTATAGTATAATGTACAATTGCAACATTTAATTCCAGAAGCGTCACACTAAATAAAGTACATACAAGCAAACAATTTCTGACACACAGTAGCAAGACTAAAAACATAGATCTGATGTTGAAGCCATCTAGTATTGCTTTAAGAGGAATTAAAGTAGCTGGAAAAGACAAAACCAGGATACATTACTAGATTGAATACAAATGCAAAATAACAACAGTCTCTGTAAAAGAAACTCAGATCAAGCATACCTAAAATGCTGCCTTCAATTACCATGTTTCTTTTGTAGCACCTCAGCCACAGAAAGAAAATACAGTGCCTTAAAGAGCCAGCTCACTAAGTTACTGAGAAACATAAGGGTTTAAAACAGGCTAATACATGTTGCTGCAGAAGACAATTCAAAGTAACCTGAATGTCGATTAAAATGAGATGCTTCATAAACTATAGATACTATAGAAGGGCTGATAAATTCAAATGGTACAACTGAAAACTGAAACAGACATTTAAGGCAGAAGTGTTTGTGTCAGAACAGTAAACAGAACAAATTGCTAAGCAAGGCCACAAGAGATAAAACGAAGCCCTGAAGGTTTGTTCAGCAAAGTGATTTAAATGTCCATAATTCTCCATGTTCTAATTAAGAAGATTCAAATAAAATAGTGTAATTCATGTTGTGTGTTCCAGTTTAAAACTCCATTGTTTCTCTTCCAATTCAATTCCTCTGTCTTTCTTTGGTGTAATCTCTACCAACACACATAGAACATAGTTCTAGTTCTCATTGTAAAAAACAACTTGGAAAAAATAAATTACATGCTTCTCATGACAAAATGCAAGATCCTGATCTGTTGCATGGTCCCATATGTTTAGCAGCCTCTGAATAGTAGTTTTAAGTTATTAATTACGTCCGAAGCAGAATCATAATTTGCTGTTATCCCCCCAAATCACTTACTAGTTAACAAGTTTACTTTGGTAGATAAGCTATCTAATAGTCATGATACACTTGTGTTCAATTCAAGAAGTAGTGAAACCTAGACTCAGATAAGTTTGTAAATTCATATATAGACCCTAGCTCGTAATTGTAACCATGATATGCAGAATTACTGCTATTCCTGCACTGGAAAATGACATCACATCTGTCTTAAAACTACACAAAACTATGAAATATGGTTGTCAGTTCATGATTAAAATAAAATAGTAAATTATTTTTAAACATTGTGTTAAATATATTCACACAACCACCACAGCTATATGAAATGGGCACTACTGCAATCACACACTATACGTACATAACATATATGCCACAACAGTTTGCAAATGTTGAGTTTTCACAGACTAGCCAATTTTACCATACATAAATAATCTTGTACCAATTTTTAGGCATTTTAAAAGGAAGTAAATTTCCTAAATATATCAGTTCCTCTGCAAAATTAAAAAAAAAATCCTAAAAAGTCAGTGCAAATTGAACTTGTTCACCAAGAGAGATTCTTATTAAGCTGAGAATAAACAAAGTTTAAGAGATTAAAGGAAGAAACTCATAGAATCGCCAACTGCCTTTAGCAGAGGTTAAAGAAGATTAGGAATCAGAAGTCCTGGATCCTATAGTAGAGCCTTCTGTGAGTAACTATGCTGTGGTTGTTGAGGTGGTGGAGGCTGTGGTTGTTGTGGAGGTGCTTGCTGACTGCCTGCTGTCTGTGGCAGAGCTGTAGATGCTAAGTTATAGTTTGGCACCTGGGACATATTAGTTCCAGCATTCTGATAAGCAGCAACATCAACAGTAGCAGGTGGTGGACTATACACTGAAGCCTGGTTAGAGTAAGTACTTCCAGCAACAGAACCAACCATTGCACTGAAAAAAAATGAAAATTTAAAGTTAAATTTACAAACAATTTACCAACAGAACAGCAAAAATTTACTACTTCTTCAGTTGTTCTATATATACACACAAAAATCTCTTAACATGGGACACCTTGCATATTTAAAACCATAGTCAATGAGTATTCCCATTAAAACTCAAACACACTCCTCAGATTTAAACACACCTCCCATGGATTTAAAATTAGACTGTGAATCTATACTTTTGTTTTATTTTAAGGTGCAACATGGAATCCAGGTGAAAGATGGGGCCATCTATCTTCCATTTTGTTCATGGAAAAAAACAAAACCCAACTGAACTATTTCATAAACCAAACCAACTGTTTTAAATAGCAAAACAAGTCAGGTGAAGTATGCAGAAACTCACTTTATCAAGGTATGCCTTACTATACCAAGTAAGTAACTTTAGGGGACAGAAACTATCAAATATATTAATGACTTAAGATGAATGTCTCTCCCAACTTCATAGAATAAAATTGCTTTACACAGACAGTAATATAAAAAAAAAAAAAGAACCAAGAAACCAAAACCCCAAAATACCCAAATCCCCTAATATTTTCCTAAAGCCAATTCAAGAGTTTTTCACAATATAGGTAGCTTAACCAAAGCTTAGCATCTTTGGCCATCTACCCAATGCAGAAAGCCTCTTGTAAATCCTTTATATGGGTAAGCTGCATAAGCTTTAGTAAGTAATCCTAGCCCGTTCACTTCTTTTCCAAAATGAGCAGAATTCTCCCCATTCTTCTATGGTAAGATATTTGAAAAAAAAGAACTGTAGAATATACAGAAATTACGCTAAGCCAGCCAGAGCAGCAGATAAATTTCATCATTAAATGTATATTAAAGGTTACTACTAAGTCATGTCTATATAATTTTCTCTATTTTTTTATATAAAAGAAATTTAGAGAAGTTTGACAGGAATTTTTAACAAATACATGACACCAATAAAAAGCACACTGGAAATAATTGCAATAAAGTATCTTTCAGTTGTGTTTATAGTTATACTTTTGTAAGGCAAAAAGTCTCCTTTAAAAATTATCTGTAGTCCTTTATGTTTAAATTGATTTAAACTTGAATAGGAAAATATTTAAAATTACTTTGTGTAAGATGTCTGTGCAGGCTGACCAGGCAGTACTGAGCTGGCAGATGGAGTAACTGTGCCTTGGCTGAGAGAAGGGAGCTGTTCAGGAGGAAGATTGTAACCTTGAATATGGCCCATCTGTGCACTCCCTGCTACCAAGTATGCATTACTTTGAGTTTGCCCCGGATAAACCTAGGAAGTTAAATAAAGGAATATTAGAAATAAAATACAAGAAAATTTGCTATTTAATATCTGACACCAGACCTTAAAGATAGCCTCTCAAACCTTTAATTTCCTCTAATTTAAACTACTGAAGTTAAAAATGGTAATTCTTTCATGGCAGCATTTCCAAGTTGATGGCTATCTCTGAGTAGATAGGGGAGGGCATAATCTTAACCTGGAATAGTACTCCCTCAGTTCTTTACTTTCTTTGACCAACTATGCACAGCCCTGGCAGCTTGAATTTTTAATTTTATGTACAACTCAAAGCCCAGGATGGGCTTTTTCCTTGATCAAAAGGAGCTGAACAGACAAAAACTAAAAGCTTTAGAACCTGCAAAAGGAGAACATCCAAAGCTTGCAGCTGAAATAAAACATTTTTATTTTTATTTGTCTACATATTCTGTTGAGAGAAAACACTGCTCAGTAGGTATGCACTTGATAAGGTCAATGGCTATTCAAGGTTACAGACATACCTGAGAGCCAGAAACACCAGATGACTGCATGTAATACTGTTGGTTTTGTAGTTTTGCGTACATGGAATACATTGGGTCCTCATTCACCAATTTGTTATACAAAGAAAGAGCCTCCATTGCTTTAACATTGAGCTCTGACAGTTCTGAATGTTTCCTAGAAAATATATTTTTTCCAGTTTATTCTACAATTTAGATAACTTCAGTATAGAACAGACAATACAGAGATATTTCATGAGGTGTAATAAGCAACATATTCTTGCTATGAAGTCATGTCTGACAAGAGCATCAAATGGCGCAATACTGTAAAATATTATGTGACTAGGGGAAAAAAACCTTCAGACTTCTTTCCAAAGGAGAAACTACTAATAAGTACACCTATTTTCTTTGCCAATATTCATAAAAATTAAGATATCATTAAGTAATAAGACTGGTATTTCTAAGAATGAATTTTAATTTGAGTCAAAATACATGACTTTTTTTTTACCTGTCTATATCTTCCAACTTTTCATCTATGAGAGGTCCCATCTGGTGGCACATTGCTAGAATAGAAAGATGTTAAAATATAACAGCATAATAAACATTTCCATACTGCAAAGTCAGAAAGCAATTTAAAAAAAAATGACAAGACAGAAATGTGTAGATGCTAGTCCATTTTTTTTAGTTCATTACTATAATCTGCATGCCAAAAATTTATAGTAAGAGAGGGAGCATCATGAAAAATTTAAGAATGAGATCCAGCTGAAGTTTTCACTACTGGTAAAATTTCAAAAGTACATTTTAAAATAAAGTGAAGCAAAACACATTTAATATCCAGGAAGCATAAAACTGAAACTATTTTGCATTAAAAGGTTCAAGTAAATCTGAGAGGTGATCTCTTCTTCAAGGAAGAAAATTTGCCACTGCAAGTCATGCTCAACTAACAATACTACAAAAAGACTATCTATGAAAACAATGAAGAAGAAAACTGGTTGCAATGATTCAATCACCTGCACGTCAAAGACACTATTAGCACATTTCTCTCTCACTAGAACCCTAATTGGGGGAGGGGGGCTTTTTCAAACCACTAACGTGCAAAAACCAACACAAAAGCTTACCAGAAGTAGAACAGAAAAGCATTAAAATAAACAAAAATGTACCCCCTGCTTCCTTTCAGCACAAGGACATGGGATTCACCCAACTGCCAAGCAAACCACAGTTAACTAACAGAAAGACAGAATTTGTCAAATGTAAAATAAACTGACAAGGAAGCTAAAAGGGAAGTTTTGGATATTAGGAATAAAGAAGGTCCTGAAAATGTCTGGGCCATGATACACGAAAGGGCACTACTATTGTGTTCCTCAAAGGCAATGCCAGGTGAATGAGGAGTTGTATGAGAGATACCTATCTACTTCTTTGAACCTCAAATCAATAATACATTGACAGAAATACTGGGAAAAGATGTAAAACCTGGTCTAAGTTCTGCCTATTTTTATGTACAGCATAAAGTGTGGTAAAAGGCATGACAAGGATTGCTCACATGTCTGTATGCTAACATGATGACTGCACTGTTGCCAACCACAAACCCTGGGCTCCCAAACGTGTTAGGATGAGCTCTCCAATTTAAAGAATTTGTGACTGGACATGTGGCTGGCAGAAGAAAATTAAGTGGGTTTTCTGTCAAATAATTATCAGCACCTGACACCACTGGTAGGAATCAAGGATTCAAAACATATCTGTAACAAAATTCCCAGAACCTATGCCAAAAACAGTAGCTCACCAAGGCCTACTTAAGTATAGAGCAAGTAATCTTGTATTGGCATTGCAGGACTACAGCAAGTGCTGTTGTAGGTAGCTGAGGAGCAATCATCTGACCCTACCACTGCTTTCAGATTCTAGGACCAGTCGCACAATTCAATATAAAATTCAGCAGTGTTTTAATGATCTCACGATGCATTTGCAAGGAAATCCTAATCTAAGCCATATCTGGAGGTTGGTGGACAAGCATACCTTTTAATTTCTTTGCCTCTGTCCTGGACCAGATACAGGCAATCTGCTTCTTAGACAACAGCCTCTATAGCTATATTTGGGACTTGAAAGAATAAAACTGGTCATATTTCTTTTTACCCCTCTTTAGCTTTAGTGGAACTAGAATATGTGCAGACAGTTCATTGATGTGCAGTTCCTAAAACAGGATTCATTTACAGGCATAATGAACCAGATGGGTGTGGAAAGATGGGACATACCCAAAAGCTTATAAACCTATACACTTCCATGATTAACTTCTAGATAGATGTAGAACCTGCCATTTTCTTGACAAAGTCTGGTCCTATCTGAATTGTCAGTTTAAGCCTATGTTCTGTTTCATAATCAGTAAGTTTCTTTTCTTCCTTCTCCAAGTTCCTTCCCAAAAATTTTGGTGCATATATCAACCCAGGTAAAATGGTCTATAATGCCTCTGTGAAGAGGTAGTCTGAATAATTTGACTCTAAAAGATTAGCATAATTTGTAGCATTCTATAAAGTATTTGTTAATATGCAACTCCTACAGAAATACACATGCAAGTGAAAAGCATGAGACACCCACAGGTCTATTCTAAACCTCAGTAGTATTTCTGCTTCCTCTCATGGAATCTTTCTTACACGCCTTTTGCCACTCATTCTGTGCTACTCTATGAAGGAAAAAAAATAATGATTGAATATGATTGAATTAAATATTTCTGGGTCTTGAAAAGGAACAGAATATAGAAAATGGTTTTCTTGAGAGAGGAGTGGGCTTGTCTTAAGTTAACATTTTGCACTTTGGTCTCTTAGATGTGGAAGAAAGGAAGTGAGAAGAGAATTATGGCTCAGGCTCTTTTCTCAGGCATGCTTCTTGCATGGACATGAAGCTGAAGTAGTTTCAACTTAGTTTCAGTTTGGTTCGATGTAGGTAATTACTAGAGAGGAAAACAACAACAACAAAACAGTACTTTCTTACCCTCAAGATGAAGCAATTCTGGGAGGTCTGGCTGGTCATCAGATGGATCTGCACTTTGTAACATCTGTAAGAGTTGGTCCATTTTATCCTAGAACACAAGTTGTATAATTAGGGCACATACAGCAGGCAGGAAATTAGCACTTTCAGGATAGTAAACTAAAGCAGCTGTTTACAACAGCCATTTTGATCTCTCGGCACTTGAGAATCATCTACAGTAAGAAAATACAAATCATACATGCTACTTTATAGGAATGAAGATGCTTTAACAAGGAAAAGCCAATCAACAAAAATCAACAGTAGTAACAAGTGGAATGTGCAGAATACTCCTTTATTCCTAGAAGTCCTTCTAAACAGTATTTTCTGAACAGCTTCTATTTTTATTACATATGCAATAACACCACCTAGTGGGATTAGTGGAAATATTTTGACAGAATACATGGAGAGAGTACTTCAAATTCACTGAAAATCTATCCTGCATTTTTAAGTGATGGGGCCTATTCAGTATATGAGCCATGTCATTACCTATATATATATGTGTGTGTGTGTGTGTGTATACATATATATATATGAGTGTATATATATATATATACACACACACACATATATACACACACACACAATTTTTTTAAGATGATATTTGGAGGGGTTGCATGGTTGATTTCAGAATAAGTCATCCTTGATTAACTAGTTTAAGTGCAACCCTCTTATAATAAAAATACCAAAGGTTAGAAAATGAACAGGCATAAACTTTGAAAAATATGTCTCAGAGTGAATTATATTGCTTAATGAAACCTTATACGTAAAAGATTTTAAATCACTTTTTAAATGAGTGCTATCAAATAAATAGCCTTTATCAGGTCAGAGTTATATAGGTTGTATCAAAGTAGAAAATAAAACCATGTTTTGTCCTCCTTAAACTCTGGAAAGGAAGGGAAAAGCCAAATGAATTACTTTCTTAAATATTATACTACAGCAAATTTAAAAACAAAAGAAGACACTAAAACAAAAAACCAACACGGACTCACAGAAGACAAAACCTGCAAGGCACCTCAAGGAAGGCCTGAGATAGCTATTTTGGTGGATTACAAACTAATATCTCTTGGGAAGAAGAATTTTTGAGGTGGGACTTTAATAGGACTTTAGGGAGGCAGTAACTGATTTCTCATGTCAAAAGTGAAGAACTTGTGTCAAGGGAAAAAAAAGGCAGGGGAAAAACATTTCGTTTTTAGAGATAGAAAGATCTTTGATTCTGAGGGTAGACGGTGGTGGTTATACTGGAAATAAATTTAAGACAGAAGCCAAGATGGATATCTCTGAGGTATCCTGAAGTACTTAAAGTAAAATTTGAAAGGAAATTTGTCACTCAACATCAAGCTTCTAGTTTGGAGGTAAACAGATGTAAAATCAGAAATTCAGAAATTCCTAAGAGCTTCAAGATTCTTGAAGAAATGAGAATACTGCAGATTTCTTTTTATTTTAATTAAATCAACTTTCCCTTCCCATTCTCTTTTGATTTTTGCTTTTGAAGTACAGTATGAAAGGGTTAAATATCACATATTTAAATGTACCAGCAGTTGAAAATCAGAACTTTTAGCATGCTTACTTCATCAATATAAACTGGTTCAGGCTCAGGTTCTATTGTCTCTACTTGAATTTCATCACTGAACTGCACTGTTTTCTTCTCAGCTTTTACTGCAAGACAAACAGCCAGACTTAATTTTATAAAATAAAAATAAACAAACAATGACAAATATAATATAGCTAGCATATTCCCTAGGTTTTTGTCATTTGAAACATCTACTGTGAAAATTTTAAAAATTAGTATTTTGTTGACATTTGAAATCCACAAAAAAACAATTTTCTTACACAAATCTGTAAATTGCATTAAAAAAATACAACAGTTCACACAAGGTCAACTGAAACATGTTTTATCAAATAAATGTCTTTATTATAGTCTCCCTGCATACAATATCCTTATTATTAAGTCATCAGGAAAAAAGACTAAGAAAGAGTGATTGGAAGAAACAGGGCTAATGAGTCAGGTTTAAGAGAAAAGTGATAAAATCATCTATGACAAACTTTTCCCCAAAGCAAAGTACAGAATCAAAAGTTCTCAAACTTCACTATTCCTTCTCCATCAAATCATATCTGCAAAGCATCTCATTCCTCTGTAGAGGAAGCTAGAACAAAAAAGCCAAACACTGCTCTTATATTACTCTTACTAGATAGTCTAAACATATTACAAATGACTGCTACGGCATATAATTCTGCTGACCTGCTCTTACCTTTAGCACCCTCGAATTGAGATCACAGGAGATTAATCTCACAAACCCATGAGATTTACAGGAATTGGTTCTAATGTTTAATATTTTTATTAAATATTTAGAGTAGGTTAGACTGATATAAATAGATACAAATAGATAACCACTATACAGAAAACCCCTCTTTCCGTTATGCACACATACACACCCACAGTATGTAGGTTTCTTGAACTATTTGAACACTGGTAATCTGACTCACATCTGCCCAGGGGCCTTCAGTTTTACCTCAATTAGTTATGTACCATTGCAACCGGGCAAAAAGGCAGTTTAAAAAAAAGCTACAAAAAGCTACTAATGCCTACATTTATCCAGGTCTCAATGGAGTGATTTGATGAGTCTCAAGGAAACCACTGACAAAGCCAGAACAGAAAGCAGAAGCCAGCTTGGGCAACCTTGGTCTGACACAAAGGTATGTCTACTGTTTGTGAGATCATAGCAAGAGCTCCTCAGTTTTACTTCAGTTATCACATTAAACTTGCAACTGAACTCCATCATAAGGGAAACGAAATCACTGCAAAAATATACCTTAGGCAATGGCAGGATTTAACATATATACATAAATACAATGTTACTTACTCATTTCTGGCTCAGCAGAAAGATCAGCTGTTACAAAATTAGATGGAAACAATCCTATACCCTGGTGAGTTTCACCTTTCCACCAATTTGGATCACTAAAGATAAAAAAAAAAAAACAAAAAAAACCCCATACATTATAAAACCCATACTCACATGGAATTTTCCTAGGAATTGCACAGAAAAGGCTTTTATATTACTTGTACATAAATACAACTTGTGTATACACAGAGAATGTATTCTTGTGTATATACAAAAATTTTTATGCAATTATATTTATTTGTAAAAAATCTAGGAGATAATTAAAGTATTTAATATGTAAATATGTTTCCATGCAACGGTATTCCAAGGTATGCTTGTACATAGAAGATATCATTATCCCGAAATCGTTTTTACAGTCTAATATACTTCTAGTAGACATTCTATATAAATTACCTGTCATCAAGGATAGTTATAAGTTCTCCAGCTTTAAAAGTTAATTCGTTGTCTTCAGCAGCCTCAAAATCATAAATTGCACGAACCTTTCGGCCCTCATGTTTGTGGTTTGTTAAAAGGCTTGAGGTGCTCGGATACAAACTGGAAAGTGTTGTTTGCTGTTGCCTTTGTTCTTTTAGTGACAGTTCAATAGCTGCAAAAGAAGAGTTACTCAGATGAAAATTCCCTATAAAAATGGGTTGAGTTATAAGAAGATTTAATTCTGTGAAAACTTTTCATATAATTCTATTCCTGTTGCATTTTAATTACCCTCTGCTTTTCCCTTAGAAATAACAGTAAAAAACAAAAAGATGTTTTACAACTAGAGAGCACAATTCTACCTGTAGATTTACTGAGGCTTTTAACAGGGACAGGACGAATAAACAGCACTTAAGCACAAATGGAATAACTCAGTGAAGTAATCCATTTTTTATTATTATATTACTGTTATAACCTTGAACTGATGTAAAATATCTACATACTTACTTTACATCTTACACTATGTTAAACATAAAAAAATTGCTTGAAACATTAAAAGAATACAGCTGTTCCAGTACACAGTGTTTCTCTGCTAGACAGGAGTCTTTAGCCTGGATTCACAGAATCACAGGATTACACAGATTGGCTGAGGTTGGGAGGCACCTCTGGAGGTCATCGTGTCCAATCCCCTGTTCAAGCAGGGTCATCTAGAGCTGATTGCCCAGGACTGTGTCCAGACAATTTGTGAATATCTCCAAGGACAGAGACCATGACATCCCTGGGAAACCTGTGCCAGTGCTTGGTCACCCTCCCAGTAAAGAAGAGCCTCCTTAATTCATAATTAACAAAATTATTTTTGCTTAGACAAGCAAAATTTTATCCTTTCTTTTTTTTTTATCCCTATCATTCCTTAAATAATTTCACATTTCTGGGTCATTTTTAGTAAAGCTTGACTGAGCAGAAAGGTTTCACTCATATTAAGCCCCTCCAAGTTTGTGGAAAAAAATTGATCATTTTTAACAAGGGACAGAGTGGACACAAAAATAAAGAAAACAAACATTAGGAAACATGCAGAGTATGAACTTTTAAGACACGGATTTAAACCGACTTTGATGGACTGACTGTTGAAGAAACCATTAGTAACATATACAGATTGGCTAATGGTGATTTAAACAAATCAATGTTATATTAGACAATAGCTAAACAAAAAAAAGTCTAAGATGAGAAACTGCAAACATGCACCAACTACTAGTTGAAGAACTTCACTCATTTAGCAAACAGCTATTGTTACAACTTTAAGCCCAAAGCCATCCTAGGTACAAGACATAAAATTTGATGCCTTTACAATGCTGAAGTTTGACCTCAAAAAACAGTTCTCAACCATAAATATCAAACCACTCTAAGAATAACTCTTCACATGTATCTGGCATAGGATCATTAAATGACTTTTAAATATACTTTAGTAAAACAGTAAATCAGAAGAAACTATCCTAGTTTTGTTTACGGGGACTGATGTGAGACATTTAACAGTCATTTATGTTTACAGCAATCAAAGCTTAAGGTATACTATAGAAACAATATTCAAAGGAATAAAAGTAGTATACCCAGAATACTTTGCATACAACTTATAATATTTATTTTCTTCTTCCATCAAATATATAAAATGCAAACAAGTGTGCTTCACTTGCCCCAGAAAGAGGGAAAATCCAAGTACAGCAATTGCATTAAACATTTCCACAGTAGAGGTATGTCCTTAACATGAGATTTTTGAAGACTTGTTTAACTTTGGTAAGGGGAAAAAAAGTAAAAATCGGAAATTTTTCATATTTTTTTTTACTCATAGAATACTTTTAATCTCTAACCCTCCAAGAAGAGTACAAAAAGAAAGGAATAGAAATCATAACCCCAATCCATAAATACATATTCACATAGAGGAAGGAAGCAAAACATTTGTTCTTGCTTTTCTGATATTTATCAATATATGCTTCATGTCAGCAAGTAAATGTACTTACCTTTAGCTAAATCCTCTTCTTCCTTTTTGTTGGCTACAGTACCAGGATCTTTGGCAACTAGAGCTGGACTTGCTTTTGCCTGTTCAGCAGCCTAACCAAAAGTGAAAGATGTAAAAATGAATCCAACAAAAAACTGACAATGCATTAAGTTCACCACTTCAATTTGTATTCATCTGCAATATAAAAATCTAAGGTAAGTGAGAGCATTTCACTTCTCAAGGAAAAGTTTTATTAAGACAAGAGAGTTTTCATTTTGTTTGCCAAGCACATTCTAGAATCCAAGACTACAAACTGTAAAATACAGAGCTGAGCATAAAAAGAATTTGCGATACCCTTTGAGAACAACCACAAAAATCTAATGTACCTGTGAACCAATAGCTGGGAAAGTAACTCCTTGCTCCTTAAGATTTTTTATCATAGCAGATATTAAACTAAGTTGTGGGTCATTCTTGAATTCATCAGTCCATTCCACCATAAGGGCTTTCAGCTTTTCACAAACTTTTGGATGACCCTGCACGAACAGCAGAAACTAGTTAAATAATGTAGAAATTGGTTCTTAATTTAAAGTACTTTCATATGTAATTCAATATACACCATATAGACACTTTCTTTTACAGTCGAGTCTAGCACTCAAAGATATCTTTATTAGAAAGGGAGAATAGTACACCAGCATCATATTTGTATTAGTACAATATGTGCTAGGCCCAAAATAAAGTAAAATAAGGTTACATTGAAGCCCTGTATTACCTCCATTTCACATTTGTATTTAATGTTTCACCACTGTCATTTAATGTGAAGATGAATTAGTTTATTTATAAATTAACACATCACACCTCCCCAAACAGAATACCTAGGTAACTACTGTGAAGTGGCATTCAGGAAGTTCTTTCTGATAGCCACAGTCTTCTCAGTAATCTATGCTTACCCACCTCCCCCAGCCCCCTTCCAGTCTTCCAAAAGTAGATCCCATCCCACTTTCAGATTAACCCAACTCTGATTTCACTTAGAGATGAAATATATAAATCAATGCAATACATTACCTTATTCAACACATTGCTTACTTCACTGGCAAAATCTCTTGAACAGACTTCTAAATGAAAGATTTTGCCACAGTTTGATACACATGCTCCTAGAAGCTAACAAAAGAAAGATTAAAACTCAGATTTGTGCAATATAACTTTCCAGGAAGAAAAATCACTACATTAAAAAGAACCTACCGTTAACGCTTGCATAGCAACATGAGGATCTTTATGGTTCACTCTCTTCATAATAGAGCGAAGACAGTCTTTAGGTCTAAAAAACACAAGACATTTAAAAAAATGTAATGGAATGAACATTTCCTATTGCATACATGACAATGCTGATGACTATAGCAGACAGTAAGATCTCCTGAACATTTTCAGTTTAGTAGCTTGTAAGTGTAACATAAAAAAAATAAATTAACACCATTAACAGTTGCAGCCATTTCTATCTGTAGGATTTGTAGCTTTCTTAGTGATCAAAATCTCTCAGTAATTTATGTTACCTTTTGTACTTAGAGAGAATTACTGTAAATACTCCAGAAATGCATAAAATCCCTTACAATTAGATAACTGAAATTCTCTGCAGTCCATGCACCTACTCCTTTATATTTCATACACATATGTAAGAATATTTCCTTACATACTGATTTACCAAACCCCTTTCACTACTTTCATTTTGAATTACCACCAAGTTCCTTAGCCTCTTTTAATCTACAGAATAACATTTATAAAGACATGCAATGAATCAACAAGTTCTAAAAAAACCTGTCAGACATTCTACAAAGCTTCTATACAATTAAATACAGAATTCAAGTCTTACCTATATTGTGGTAGATAGAAATAATATAAAAAGCAACTTCAAGCAAGAATTTGAAAGGGAGTTTCAGACAGTTTAGTGTATTAAAATCTATGTGACTTTATGTTATTTTACTCTGTTTTTAAAGGTAGTGGAAAGCTAAGCAAGGCTGGGTTAGGAATTATCATGGGCATACAAGCACTATTTGGTGAATAGCCCTGAAAAGATAAACCTGAAGGAGGGTAAGTAGGGAAAGAGGAAAAGAGAAAATCTAAACTAAGAGATTTTACATATCAAGTGTCTTTTTCGAAGCAGAAGTATTTTCCTATTGAACTGGTATCCAAGAACTAACATGAAACTTAGGTATAAGTTACACCACTGCTTGGCTATACTATATTTGGCAGTGTCTACATTTTACAGAAATGTCCACCTCATATTTAGTGGTACTAATTATAGAAAATGGTGTCACGCAGCATGAGTACATATCATTCAGTGTATACCTTCATATAACCAATTATTACAAATGAAGGCTCTAAGGCAAGTACTACCTTTTATCTATTAATTATGCAAGATTTCTCATACGTTTGCTTTAACTGAGAAAGAATACATGCTAAAATTTTCAGAAATAACTGGTTTTGTAACCATTAATTTATGAGTAGGATTGATGTGATGAGTACAAGCTCAAAAAAGTGCATCTCCATTGTAAAGCCAGTATTTATAAAGGTAGGGTGCAGGATCAAGAGCTTAGCAGTTCAGGAACAGGACAATCAGTCTAAGATTTTTTTACTAAGGAATCCAAAGTCTTATTAAAAGGAATAAAGTAACAAAGCCTCAAAGCCAAATGATTATCCATATGTGTTAAATACAATCTACTTGCTCATATATTTAACAGAAATGATCAATACTTGAGTGTTTAATGTTTTAACATGCTCGAATGTTTAAAATAAGAAAACTTTTGATTACACCTACACAAAAAAAATAAGCCAGGCTTACCAATGTTTAGTCAGAGTAAGAAAACCTATTCTAGACAGAACTGTAATCCTTATTTTTACTTCTAATTAACTCATCATACAATTTAGTGTGTAAATTATGGGAAGCACTACGCAGAAAGCAGAGGGAAGCATGCACCCTACGAGTATAGAATTCAATCTACTTATTAGCACCTATCCAGACCATACTATACAAACATTGGGCCACAGTTCTGCTCCAACAATTCCATAATCAAAATTTCAGAGGCACTACAGTGAGTAGGAATAACAAATCAGTAGGGCAAAAATATGGCAAGATACAATAGAAGCTATGCATCATATATGATATCACATACCAATATATCCAGAAAATATTCACAATAAATTTCAGGTTTAGTTTTAGAAAGTTTAAAATAAAAAAATCAAGCTGATATTTTATTTAACAAAGACAAGATTAGCAGCAATTGCAATCTAAAATACTACTCTGCAAAAAACATTTCATATATTTTCAGGAATTTATTGTTCATTTACAGTCTAAGTTAACTGACTGTGGTGCTCAGCACTACACAGGTGACTCAATTTTCCTCCTTGCTCCTTCAGAAACAAGCTAGTCAAAAAGCTTCCCGGTCAGCCTGTGAAACATACACTGCAATGACTACATAAAATGCTACTGACATTGTGTAATTTGAGGGGGGGGGGAAAATAGAAGGTACCTTGGAAAACTATCAAGTAAGCAATTTTGCTGTTCTCTCTTGCATGAACAGGCACAAAAACAACCAGAGAAGAAACAGCTAACCAGAATACTGGCTCACTGAGGCAGTGATTAATCCTTAAGGAATCAGGACAAAGTTAGGTAAGCAGCAATACAAACCATTTCTCAATGACAATTTTCCAATACCTACCCTCAAAAGAGAGTGCTGCAATGAACATTTCTATTTTAACCACTGATGTATTCCCCCAGTCACTGATTTAATTTTTTTCAGACATCTTTTTTTTTTTATTAAGTAACTTTTCTGCAGAAAAACTCAAGTTGTGATAGTTTCAAACATGTAGACTGATATGTCTCATGAAATAAATATAAATGGTACAACCATCTCAAAGCCAAATGCAAACACAATTACAGTTAGGAATTGGCTAGCACTGAACTGACTGAGGAAGGGGGAACACCTTATGCTAAAATATACTATACGGGGCCTTTAGTTTTTCCTTTTATTCTGTTAAATGAATCATTCAAATTCTACAATGTTATTTTATTCTGAGCTGATAAACTATAGATTCAGTTGTGTAAGCATTTTCATTTCAGAAAAGTAACATTATGCAAAAATCTATACCTTTCCTGTAGTCAGATTTAAAATGTCACTCAAATATAGAATCATAGAATATCCTGAGTTGGAAGGGACCCAAAGATAATAAGAGTCCAGCTCCTGTCCCTGCACAGGACAGGCCCAAGAATCACACCATGTGAATGAATTTTTTAAAATAAGCAAGTTTTCAATAATGCTGTACAAAAACAGGGGGGAAAAAGATTGCCTCTAATGGTAAAAGCTTTGTTTTAATCATGTTCCCATGTTGAAAGAGCAACTTGCTCACTGAGCTAATAATGCCAAAAAAGTAGGATGTAAACGATGTGATATGCAACTGCTGAGCTGTAGGAGTTCCTAAAACAATTCAGAGATAAAAAAACTGTGTTGATTTTCTCATAGTCAGATAAATTTTAGATCATCTTAACTGATATGTGAAACACGCAGAAAGTATCAAGGTTATTCTACACTACATATGGCACTATTTTATATACACTATTGTAAACAAATCTCATTATTAAAAATATTACTGCATTTTCTGTCTTTCTTATATTTTCTAGGAAAATTCTGATATCAATTTTAACCGATTTTGAAATTCACCAAAAATAGAGAAAATAGCCAAAGAGAGGGATTCGGTGGAATTCTAACTTGCCAAAAATCTGTCTTAGTTGGTTGGATTAAAGGAAGCAAGTTAACATTTTCAGCTATTTGCAATTCTGCATAAGGAAAGTATTACAACATAAAAATTAATAGTAGCATTTCTGTTACTGAACTGCAACTAATTTATCTCAAGAGAAAATACAGCACCTTTGCAGAGTAACAGGTTTCCAACAATTCATCTGGATACAAACAAGCCTGATGACCTAAGTAAGACAATGTGCCATACAGCACTGGGGCATGTGCTACTTAATGAACAACAGTCCTTCTAGTCTACCATGGCTTCATGTGTAAGACCATCCACATCTAGAAGGCTGCAGGCATGCAGTGGAGCTTACAGACTGGGACAAGGAAAACCCATAAAGCAGAATTTGTAATCTAAACTTCTGCCAAAAAACAGTAACAGACAGCTTGTACCGGAGCAGAATTGGTTAAAAGATTAAAGCAAATTCCAGTTAAGAAGACTAGCATCCTTGTCAGAGGAACTTAAACTGCAGGAGAATTTCAAACAGCTAAGCACAAGTCATTTAAACTTCTTAATAGGGAACATTGTCTTGCTTTACCTTGCATGACATAATCCATCAAAACAAAGAAAACCAACTATCAGCAAGTTTTAATAGAATCTGAATTTAAGCAACAAGTCAGCTGGCAGCCTATTCTAAGCAGGGTAAATATTACAAAGGTTAAGTCCCACTTTTATTTTAAAAACAGTTTTATTAAAAAAAAATCAAAACAGAAAAACAAAAAGGAAAAGACCAAACCCAACACAAACAAACCCCACAAATTGTAACAGGGAGCTAGCTTTGTCTGTATCGCTGTCTCTTGCAGCTACTCACATTTGAGCACTGTTCAGGCTGTGTTGCTGTGAGATGAAATCTCACCTGTGGAAATGCTTTCCATGATTAAATAGAATACTGAAGCCTTCAATAGTATAGTTACTGTTACAGGCTCAGTGTCACCATGCACAAGGAAGAGAAATGTAGTTTTACATATACAGACTAACATGAAACATCATTAACAACTTGCCAGCTCCATTCTGCATCTGGAGCACTTTGTCTAGTTTGGGACTCCCCAGTGCAGGAAGGCTATTGATGCATGACCATGAGTCCAATGGATGGCTGCCAGGATGGTCAGAGCAGGTCATATACAAGGAGAGATGGAAGAGCTGTTTTTGTTTTTGGGAAAGGCAGATTGTTTTCTACAACTAACTAATGAGAGAATACATGGAAGTATAAGAAAAGTGTAATCAGATTGCAGAATTATTTTTTTATTTACTTACTTAGTAAGTAGTAGTAGTAGTTAAATACTGAAACATGTAGCCCATAGAAGTTGTGAAACCTCTGACCTTGGAGGCATTCAAGACTCGACACAGTCCTGAGCAACCTGATCTAATTAGACCTGTTTGAAGCTGGGAGGTTGGACTAGATGACCTCTGGATGTCACTTCCAACCTAGATTATGATTCTGTAAGAAAAATCCCTTATGAAGTCTCCTGGGTTTATGGTGATACTGCTAAAACATATCAGTTTATTTATTCTGTTACATCAGTGAAAAGCTGCTGTACACAAGTCCTAATTTTAACAGATCACCTAGTATCTTCAAAGGAAGAATTGCAAAATATTTCAGCAGAAACCCCATATATTTTCCTTTTACTTGTAATAAATTTAAGTTAAATTGAGCTGTTGCAAAAGACTACAAAAGATAACAAAAATTTCATTCCTCACCTGAGTATGAGGGAAGTTTGGGGAGGAAATTCTTAAGTCACTTACCCTGTGCGCGACTGTCCAACTTTATCACAGATGTCTAAGATGAGGCCCCAGTCTTCTGCAGTGTTCATCTCACTGGTTGCTTTCTCTGACAAATAAAGTATAAGCAAATCAAAACACAAATTTAAACAAAAAAAACCTTATTGACAATAAATTTGTTGAAATATTACCTCTGTGTATATTGCTAAATATATGACAAATCCCTATATTTAATAAAATTCATATATTAGCACTATTATACCTAATTGTTTTTAATTTTTGAATGTTCACTTGTGGCCATGAATTTCAGCTAATGAGCAAATATATTTTGGGTTTGTTTTTGCACCTAATAAAGATGCACCCAGAATATGACACAAGTAGTTTAGGTACCAACAACTTTTTTCTTCTATTTGAAACTATAAAGTTTAACAGGATATGAATACCCAAAGCATTAGTTCACTGTAGAGTCAGATACAACTGAATGTGTCACTTTCTCAGACACTAAACTGCTATGTCTCGCATTTCCTTTCTACATATTACAACTCAACAAGGAGGATTTAACAATCGACTAATAATCATTAAACTTTTATCTCCCCATTCTCATCTCTGCTTTGGATGATATATTTCACTGTTTCTTTTCAGCTATAAGGACTGCTAAACCAAAACTAATCTCACAGAAGCTGCTGAAGAGGAAAGAAATAGAGAGAGTAGGTGGAGAAGAAATAGATATCATGTCAGAAAAAAAAAAAAAAAGAGAGATTCTCTCCCTATTTCTCCCCCAGAAAAGCTTAGTTACACCAAGGAAAATAATAAATATATTTTTATATATATTTATATTTTAAAGGAAACTGAGGCTTACACTGCAGCTGAATAGAAGATTATCTAAATACTGATAGATCAGATGAGGGCTGGAGAGCATAAGAGAATGCACAAGGATTTTCTATTAGTAACCAAACAGAAAGTGAATGGGCATAGAATAGTGCACAAACTTTTGCTTCCCATCCCTGCTTCATCTAAGGTTCACATCTTAATCTACAAAGCACAAAATATGCCTTCAGGGAATGTCTCAGACTACTTAACTTTTCGAAAGGAAGGAAAGATTCCCTATAAAAACTCATCTGTCAGGAACAACTCATTATTTATATTGGCACTTGCAAGATTGCAAACAAGAGAAAGCCAAAGCAAAACAACTAATCTCCAAAAATTACAAGGAATTATTCATCTCAAAGTTAATGGATTTCTTATGAATGAGTTCCTGTGTCCTACAAACTGAAGTATGTTACAGTTAATTAGTTTCTTAATTCCGAACAAAAACACAGAAAAGTAAAACTTTATGGTTACGTGCTCTCAAAATATTTGTGAGCAAAAATTAAAGACTGATATATATGCAACTGAAATGACAACACATCAGTTGTGCTGCCTGATGCAAGGAAAACAGCAAAACAGTATAGTGAAATCCTAAATGAAAGCTAGTTACAATTCTGTATGTTCTCTCAGATAAAGTAATAGAGCAGTGCCTCTTCTCTCTAAATTCATCCAGAACATTAATTTGATTTCAAAAAGCATAGTCAACAGAAATATGAAAAATTATAGGTAGACACCATACTAACATCTAGCACGAAGACAGACCAGCTGATCAACCAACCACTATTTTTCTTTCAGTTTGCTATTGTTCCAAATCATGCTTATGATTAGTAAAGCTAACAATCACAATCACTGAAATTCTTGATGTTCAGATAAGATACCTGAACTGAATGCCTGGCAGAGCAGTCTTCTGAAATCATAGTCTATGTGCACAGCAGCTGTACTGCTACCAAAGCCAGCATCAACTCGGGAGCATCAGAACTGCTTTTATGAGACACAGAGCCTGAGCTGACTAGAATGCACTCCCCACACTGAAAACAGCTGATAAGCACAGTCCAGATACACACAAAACAGACCACATAGATGCAGTTTACTTTCAGGACTCAACTGATTCAGTTCATTGCCAGTTCTACTGGAGCTGGACTAGCTCCAGTCAAAGTGTGTCTGCACAGTGCTCTCGACAGCCTTAAGTTCCCGCCAGGCTCAGAGCTCACACATGGAGCCTCACAAAACCACACCGGTCACTTCTGCCTAATGCTGCACTTCAGTCAGCACATCCTTCAGCAGAGAGCTGGGCAATCCAGTGGAACGGAAACCTTTTCAATTTTTCTACGTAACAGACAGTTGTCTGTATTTTTGACAACAATTGATCTTTCTTTCCTCACAATGTTATCAGAGAGAAATGTCATGGCAATCGGTTATGTCTTCTACAAAGAAAGAAGTAAACTAATGCATGCTTAATGTTTTAAGATAACAGCAAACTGTGCCTTTATGATAATTTAAAGACTTTGGCTAAAACTACAAGTAAGATGGAGACTGATGAAATCCCTGACCCATATCAACCACACTGATTACAGCCTTTATTTTAATTCTCAATAAGATTATTTTGCAAATTTATCCATGAATACAATTACAAGTTTTCTGCCATGGCTACATTCCTTCTTGGCAGTTGAAGCTAGTTCAATATAAAAACTGCTATTTGCTTGCAATGCCTTCCCATTGTTAGTCAGGGTATTTCCTCCACCAACAAACACCGGATAATTTCTTACTAGATTTCAGCCTGAAATCCAGTTTCTTTGTATACGTTCTGTCTTCTGTAATAACAGTCATACATTAATTCCCTTAGATAATAAAAGTTATGGTAAGACATGACCAAAAAAGATTGCCTCGAATTTCAGTGAAATTCTGTCTCAAACAAGGGCAATTAAAAGCTAATGGCACACTAAGGATGTTATCAGCACAGTGATGCTACAGTGATGCTGACTGTCCACAAAAAAGGCTACTATCTCTGTCAGAGCATTAGCAAGTGACTATTGCCTTTCACCACTCTGGGAACAGGAGCAACAAAGACGCTTTGACAAAATTCCTATGATGCATCAGTGTTTTGTAGACAAAAGTAGGAAAGCTACTGAAGTAAAATTACTTACACTATTATCACTTAAAATCCATGAATACTCTCTCTTCTAACGTGAGGCACACATTCACAGTCAAAAAAAAGTTTATGTGCATTCAGTATTTGCCTACCCTGTCTAACAGCTGGCACACTCCCAGCCTTCAGGTATAGCTGACATGTCACTGGCAGACTCTACTAGTATTGAAATTGCGAGAAAAATCTCATTTATTGAATTTAGAAAGACGGCAAAAGTTTGCAAAACAAAAGGAATAAAACGAAAAGGAAAAATTACAACACGTGTTGGGTGTCCTAGGCACGCAGGATTCCCAGGAACACCCTTCAATTCAAAAGTCCCGCTTTTTAAACATTCTTAAGGTTCAACCCCGTTTACGTCATAGAAGAGGCGTTCCCCTCTTTCTGGTTGGCTGTGTCGTGCTGGGAGGTGGAGTGTCCAGCAGCATGGCAGCTTCCAGGACCAGCCATGTGGTATAAGGGGTTTCCTTACCAATATTCATTTACAGTTCCCCTATTCCCGTTCGCATGTTTCCCTGACACCGGTTCCAGGCTGAATCCGGCGTCTTACAGCTCCGCGATACGCCCTATAGGTTAGTAAAGAAAAACTCTTATGTTAGTGATTTGCTAAATTCATTTGCTTGTAATAAAACCGATTCTTTATTTCCCACAAAATGGACTGTGATAGGGAAGGAAAAACAGACATTTGTTTTCAAAGTCTTAGGACAGGTTAGCACAGCATACAGAAGATAACTTAAGGAAGAAATGTTCTTCATCTTCCATCTCTGATCAAAAATAACTCTATCGTAACAATATTAATGTTTAGTTCAGGCTCTATCCCTCCACCTCATCCTTGCTCCAAAATCTTACTCAACTTAGTGAATGCCAAGACAGGATCAGATAATGTTTCAAACTTGTTTTACAAAAACAACTTTAAATGACAGTGCTAGTTCATGAAATCAGCATTCTTCAAAACCTGTTAATGCTATGTCAAACACAAAGGACAACAGGACTACGTGACACAGCTCTCTTCCATGAAGCTGTACCAATTCAAGGCATTGTTTTCTGAGCACAAGCAAGGTCTACAAATTAACATAGTAATTTTAACCAGCGCAAGACTGTAAAATCTTACATTGTGTCGTATTAATTTGTAGTGATTAACAGTCATTATTAATATTAATTACTATTAAGACTAGTTAGTGAAATAGTAGTTTTAAATTTTTTCAACTGACTTTTTTCCTTGGGTTTTTTTTGTTCATTACATGTCTTCATTTCTCACCTTTATTTTTCTAGAAGTTATTTAATATTATTTTCTTACAAGCAATACCACAAAGATGGATAGACAAAATGGTAAGCGCTATCATTTCAGAGGAAAACAATACTTGGATCTACGGGTTCTTTGGTCAAACACAACAACAACAATCCTGAACAATATAAGAATACCTTTCTAAATAACTTCAACAATTCATTTAATCCCTAAAACAAAAGCAAGACACACAAAAACAACTGTATCACATTTTTCAGCCACTTTGCAAGGCATTGTATGTGGGATCAGGAGGCCTCTCCCTTTATACTTCTCTATTCAGAACACTAACCATACTGAGCCAGACCAATTCCATCTTGCCCAACATTCAGTCTCTAATACATATATTATACCTAAAGCAGATGCCTAGGAAAACAAAAAAAGAATAAGGTAAGCATTAGTTGTACTTCCCTACCAACACACCTTTCAGTGACCAACAATTTGCAGCTTCGTAACTCCTGAGTCAGAGCTGGTGCTGCAACCACACAAACACTGTCATAAATCACATACAGAACAAATAATTAAGGAAGTACTCTGAAGTAAAACGTGTCTATGACAGAAATCTTGGCTGTTTTTGTATCTTTGAAGTTTTTCAATAAGAACATCATGTCCTTCAAATAAAATACCTAGATGCTGAAATCATTCTTCCAGACATATGGTTCTATCTTCTTTCTCTTTTTAAACTAAACCTCTGAATAAAATTTACACAAAACAGTATCATCTGCCTTCTAAAGAAAACACCCTTCCTCTTTACCAATGCTCACTGAAATACGGTACCTAAAACCCAGATGACAGAGTTACACCTACTGATGAGAAG